TGCAAATTATGGTTGTGTTCAAAATGACTCTTTTGCCCACGATAATCACTGACCTCGAATAGAAATCACTGACCTCGAATAGATAATGAGCCTTGAGAGTCACATGAACAGCTCTCTCATCATCATTTGCTTACGGAACGCTGGGACTGGAAAGTGTTTGTAGATTTCCAACTATTTTTTTATTATAATTTTTTATTTTTTTATATCATTCTTCATTTTGTGCATTTTTTCATCTCAGGAATTCCAACTACTTCAAAGACCCCCAAGTCCTAAAGAGGTATTTTAAAGGTCAAGGGCAGGATAAGGAGGCAGACCTGACAGGCATCTGAGCCTCAACACCTGCTTCCAAGAGGGAGACTCTTCTGCTTTTAAACCAGGATAGGATGAAGTAAACGCTACAGGCCAATGTCTCAAAGTTTTCCTAACACGGTTCCTGGCAGTGAGTTTAGCAATTCAACCTGGTTCTGTGAAAGTAACCGTCTGGTTCTCTGAAGGTAGTGAATCATGAAACTAGACTCACACTGTCCATTTTCTATCTCCTCACATGCCCCAAGGGACTCCAGGCACTGCAGCTTAAGTCCTAGGTGAGGTATGTGAGGTTTGTTGGGTAGAGCCCCCATCTGCCAAGCTGGTACTCTTATGTGTCTGTGTAAGAGAGAGGGGGTCACATGCAATTAGGGTGACTTGCTGCCTTTTATTCCTCTGCGTTAGCCGCTGCCATCCAACCTGCAATCTGTCCCAGGTGCCAATATCTGCTGCCTGCTGAGGGCAGCTATCTCCAGTTTCAGGGCAGCCGGTAGTCGGCCCACACCGCAGCCTGGCAGCGCCCTTGCCTGACTATGAACACCTCCCTTTTCTACAGCTCCTCTTAGAGTGTCAGTGCCTGCTTCTATACTTCCAGTGCACTTTTCTCTTCTTCAGCTACTACGTCAGGCTTGTGTCCAGCCCACAGGAGTCACGTGAACACCTCCTGACACTACTGCTTTTACCACAACCCTTGAGCACCTATTGCAGGGAAAGGTGAAAGCAGACTCATAGCGCCCTCAGAGCTACCTGCTTCTCTGGCCCCAGCCCCCAACACAGAACTAGCTAGCAATGGGCAGGACTCTTGCTCTTCCTCCTCTGAAGTGAATCTTGTCTCCTGCTTAAGTGACCTTCTCACTACATGAAAATAAGGAGTAGTTCCACATATTTCCTGACAACCAAGGATGTTTTTCTGCCCAGGGAACCAAAGGACCACTCAGCAGGGTGACTTGTTACAAAACTATATACTTACCAAAGATTCTGAAATGAGATTATGTGCTCTATAAAAATGTCCTGGAAAATGTTAGGAGATTTCAAAGTGAAACTGGTTTTGTTCTACAGATTGAATATACTTGGAGTTAATTTTTTTTAAATACCACTGACATTTTTTCAGTGTAATCTTACTTGGAACATATTGTCTTAACTTTCATTTTCAATCTCTTAGACTCTAACTTGTCAGTTTATTCCTTGTATGGATATTTTCATACACAAAAGAGAGCTGTTATTTGGCTACCTAATTCAATTCTAGAGCAATCATGAAGAGCAAATAAAGGGTAAACTACAATTATCTGGAGTCCTAATCTACCATTTCAGTAAAAAAAAATTTGAGATACTAAGCCAAATTTGCTAAAGATAGGTTCTATTCAAGTAAGTATATCAAGTACAAGCATATTAATTAGAAGTAGATTAAAAGCTTAGTCCTTATCACTAATTTACTTCTATTAAAAAAAAAATTCCCTTCCCTGTTTCAAAACTGCAAAGGTAACTTTTATTTCCTTTAAAAAATTTTTAAATTTGCACTTTCACATTTACATAAGGTAGCAAAGACTGATTTTTTTGGTCATTATCGTATGAGATGGATTAAAAATCATCCATCTCATGATGCCTATACTTTTACTATAGGAATAGACTCATTTTGGATGCTCTATTTTATATTAAGTTCATATGCTCTACAGTTTATGTCTCATGTCAGAGGCTTTCACCACCTGACATCACCTGACCATAATGGGGTAGAAAAGGGAATTAGAGAGCAAAAAAGATCTTCATAGTAAAGCAAATCAACCCCTTTGAGGGGAGAGGGAATAAACAGCTAAAACAGGTCACTTACACCAAATGTTTCCTGTGGGAAAGGAATTCTACTAGATGTTTTACGCACTCAAACATTAAATAGGAAGAGAAATCATTTGGAATTGCTTATTATGTTATATAGGCAAGGGGGCAGGAGGAGCTATTGTTTCTGTAATAGATACTCCAGAAAGTAAAGCTTCAATCTATTTTTGAACAAGGCCATGATGTTGGATTGTTGTGATGCCCACTGAAGTCAGAGACGGGAAGAAATAGGGGAAGATCCGCAACAGTCTGTGAAAGCAGCTGAGATTGTAAAGGTTTCCACATTAAGTTTTCACTGCATAAATGATTCCATGGCTAAAAAAATAAACATTATTGGAAAACCCTTGTTTTATTCAGCAGCAAATTAGTTAGACCATAATTTAATACTTTCCACGCGAACTATAACAAAGTCTATCTTTTCCCATTTTAAAATATGTTTCTCTCACTCTTTAAATTTTGTAATTCATTTTCTTCCCTTGTCTTCCTTCCTAAATTTAAGTGTATCTAACCCAAGTGGTTAAGTGGTAGCATGGGGTGAGAGGGAAATATAGGATTTCTATGGGGGAGTTAATTGGTAAATTATTTTTTAATATTTAAGGCTACAAATATATGATAAGGTCAAATAAAAATTTCACATAGCTTCAAGATGAAATAGAAAACTTCAGGTAAATTCCATAGTCACTTCAGGTCAGTTGCCCAATATCAATATACATCTGTTTTACTAAAACCACCAACATTACTATTCATTCAAGTAACCTCAATATGAATATTGTAGTTACCCATTATAAACACATCACTTGTAATACAATTTTGCACACAAACACAGATTTAATAAAGTTAAATACTTATTTTCTTATTCTAAATGAAGGATGGTGAATGTAATTAATGATACTGTATTGCATATTCAAAAATTGCTCATTTTTTTACAGTTATATATGGGGTGGATGTTATCTAGACTTAGTGTGGCAAAGCTTTCTCAATATACACAAGTATCTGATCAGCATATTCTACACTTGATGTGCTAATGTAACACTACATATGCTAATTATGCTTCCATTAAAGATATATAATAAAATTCAACTTTTAAATTATGTGTGGCATAATCTATATATTTGACTGATAAAGAGAAAAAATTGGCTTAAAATTATAACAACCACTTGTTAAATGACAAACTGTTTTCCCATTTACTTGATGACTGGCAACTTTGCAAATTGTCCTCTTTTCCTCTGAATAACTGAGGAAGTTTAAAAATTTAATCAGTTGCATCTTGTTGACCAGTTCAACTTTTTCTGCTCAGGTAGTCATACCTAACTGTATTTCTTTGTAGTTTTCCTTAGCAACATATCACACTTTCAGTTTTCTAAGAGTTTCTCCTTAACTTTCATTTGTATACCATTGGGTATACAAATTGGGTTTGACTAAGATAAAATTCAGAATACATGATATATTTCTACCAAATGCAAAATAACTAATGTCATGGGTACAGTACACATAAAAAAAAGGGGGGGGGGGTCCTGGACTCTACAAAGCAGTGAAGAAATCTCTCTCCAGCAATATGTGCCAGTATCTAAGCACAGTGCTCTTTTTGATGTTTTAACGATTATATGGTATGTATGCTTCTTTGAATATTACAAAGATTTCACCTGTATTCTCACTTGATTGTCCTAATGTATACATTAAATAACTGAAGTTTTTCTCCTCTCTGTAGCCTCTACCAGGCCAAGTTTCCTGTAGGTCTGTTATGAATGGCCAAGAACTCAGCCCTAGACCCTCACAGCAGCTGGCAGCAGCTGCAGGAAAGAATCTGGGAAGACACTCACTGTTAGTCTCTTAATTTGTGATGTTAAGCTCCTTGAAAAGATAAACACCAGTTAGCATGTTTAGAGGATACCCTCTAACTGGAAAAAGAAAAAAACCTCTTATTTTCTGTAGTTATCTTAAAGTCACTGATCTTTTCAAAATAAGTATAGGACGTTTTTATTACCGAAGATCAAATACTCATAAATCAGAAGTGACATGCAGTTCTTATTTTTTTCCTAGTAGGACAGTAACTAATCAATTATGGTCAGATTTGTGGTACAGAAATGGAGTTAGAGTTATACAACCTACTAACACTGAAAGAATACTATGTAGATGTAGAAATTAATAGTTCATAGCTTCATACCCTAAAAGTGCCATTTTACAGTGACAACAGGATGTATCCATCACTGATAATCTGATAAAATATTTCACTCTATGAAAACAAGCATACATACGTGCCATTGTATCTGTAAACTTGTGCAGAAACCAGAGAACACTAGTGTCTATTACAACTTAATTTGAAGCAATCTCTAGGGCTAAGTCATCAAGGGGATAAAAAGATAGTAATGTTATGAGATAGTACAAAATGGATATGTTCACCAAACACTGGGCCTTAATAAGTCTTTGTTTAAATGTAACTAAATTGTATTAACAGGCAGACACCATTGCCAATCCATTCTTACTAAAACCAACAAGAAGATCAAATGACTAGAAACTAAAATAGCACTGGGAGGCAAAGCCATAAAAGATGTATGATGAAAAAAGGAACACGGCATCAATTTCAATAGGTGGTTCTGAACAGCCATTCTACATTGCAAACTAGAGGATTTAAGTTGCCCTAAAACCAGTTGCTGAAACCAAGTTTTGGGCTTTGTTCCCACAATTGCAGATTATGTTCTTCTCTTAAATATCTGAAGTACTTAACATGACAATCCTTCCTTTGAGATGACATAGCAACGTAAATATCTAATGCAGACAAAAGAAACAAAAGACAAACTTTTCCTTATAAACCCAAAGTCACCTTATAATTAAAAGACAATGATGATAACAGTTAAAGGTTATCTTACCTGTGCTTTTTGATGCCATTGGAGAGAGCATCTCCACTACCACAATCCTTTTCTTCAGACATTCTGTGTTTTCTAGGGCTTAAAAGCTTTTCTTCCTCTTCGATCGAGTGCGCTGTCACAGCTTCTAATCGACTCAAGGACTGTTCAGACTCAGAATCTGTGGCAGAGCAGGTTGATAGTCAATGAATCGAACTTTGATGTGAGGGCTCAGTAACAACGGTATCTCCTTTAATGCATCAGGCTTTGAAACTTAAGCAGCCTACTTTGTCCTTCAACAATCCATCCCTTAACTACCTCCTCAGGGATTTCAGGGAACCTGCACTCAATGAGGCGGGAGTAGATTTATGACATAGACATAGTTCATAGAAACTAAACACTTAAACAGATTTTACACATTGAAAGATTTCAAGTAGTTAGTTTTCCCTAACTACTCATGTGTAAGGACCTGTAGCCCTCATGTGTTACAACTCATGTGTAAGGACCTGTAACCCTCTAGCACAGGCCACTGGACCCCACTTCACCCTTTACTCTCATCCTTCCCCTCTATCCCCAGTAACTTCAGCTTTGCTGTTGGAATCCATGAGTTTCTTCTGCCTTTTTGTTCTGTTCTTTTATATTCCACAATCACTGTTGTAAACCAATGTTCCCACAATTAAAAAAAAAAAAAAAGTAGGGCCTTCCCCGGTGGCACAGTGGGTTAAAGCGTAGCATTGCAAGCCAGCCACTGCTGCTTCAGTGCGAGTTCAATCCCCAGCCCTGGAGGTGACCCACATGGTGCAGCAGACCTCTCCTGACCAGCCTGCTGCTCCCCTCAGCAGTGTGCATCATTGATCTGCCTGTTCTGCTCCCCACTCTGTCTCTGGTGAAGCCACTTACCCCCACACCTCTGGCCTGTACCCCAGTTCTGTATGCATAAATAAATCTATCTAAAAAAAAGGTATAAGGAAAAGCTATAGTTATAACTGTGGGAAACTTAGATTATATCTGATAGGACAGACATAAAGGCAAAAGTGATTTTTAAAGTATTTTAAAAATACTTATGCTGGTATGATATTTATTTAAATCCTCTAGAACTGGAAGTCTGAAGTAACTATGTAAAGTGTCATTATCAGGCAGGCTTTTTTTTTTTCCAGATGGAAATGCTAAGTTCCTAATAGACTTGTATTCAGAAAGGAACTACTATCTTTTGGGGAATAATTAGATAATTTATCTTGTATAATACATTATAGTTTTCAGACACATTCACATTCTCATTCCACATCTCCAAGGAACTCTGGGAAAGGCGAGAGAGGACTAGGAGGATAATGAATGTGCCGATGGAGCTCAGAGCTTGTGAGATCTAGCAGACAGAATTTGAACCCAGGTGTTCTGACACCTTGTTTAACACTCTGTGTGTGGCAGACTGAAACAGCAGTCACACACTTTTCAGAAGCTTTCAATGGCGCTTACATTTTTAATAAAATATAAATTATAAGTAACTTCTAATTTTCCTTTTTAAGTAGATGACTATACACTCAACTGTCCTCAGCTCCAGGGAAACCTCTTACACACACCAAACGTCCTTAAGTATATTTATCCACCATCTGCTCAGAATGTATTAGAGCTATGCTGGCCTGGAAATCAAAATGTTTAGCACTTTCTTTCCCCCAGATGCATTCTATCCTTTAGTCCAAATCAGGAACTTTATTCTTGTCACACTGGGTTGATTAGTAACAGCTGCTGAACTAGCGTTACTGCAGATTAGGCAACACACCCCGAGTTCTGAACTCTGGACCCTCAGGATGATGTCAGTTACTTGCAGAAGGACTTTCTACCCTGGTAATTTTTATTTTCTGTAAATATAACTTTACTTTCTGAAAAGTAACAGCCTTGTTCGGTCATAAAATTTATAACAAAGAAACAAGTATGTGAACTGCTGTTTTCCACTGTCAATTTTTTAACTAAAAAAAAAATATATATTAAAGCAAACCTGTAGAGCCAACAACAGGGTGACAGGCAGCCACCAGATGACGTAAGACCCTGTTAGCTTAAATTTACAAAGCAATTTTATAAAATAGAGAAATACTGTGAACAGAACGCTAAGACAAAAATTCATTTTGTAACTATGAAATATAGAGCAAAAAAATAACTTCACCAGAAAGAAACCCAGTGTGGTTCAGATAAACAGGCACAAGCACAGACACACACAGCACCATGGCACAGCTTACCCAGGGCACAGCAAGGCAAAGAGGGGCTTAGTTTTCTGGGTGGGTAAATGGACGTTAGGAAAGGCTGCAAGGGGAGGGGTTGCCACGGGTAAAGCTTAGAGAATGGCGCTCAGTGAAGGTGACAGAGGGGTGCTCAGGGAAGCACAATAAGCAAAACTGAACCAAGGTGACGTTGTGGTCGTGGGGCAGTGGGCTGGGCGGTTTTCACATTTCTGTGTTGAAGTTTGCTTCATATGAAAAAAATTTTGTCTGTGTTATTATTTAAGACACATTAGTACTTCACAATTCAGATGGCATGACAACTAAAAAGCACTGAAGCAAAAACCTCAAGCACTTATTAAGCATCAATATGCAAGGATGATGTGTTTTCTAAGAGATACAAATCACAGGACAGACATTTGTCTAGAAAGAACATTCTTAATAAAAAGCAGATTCATGGTAAGCACCAAACAGGAGACAAGGCAATTATGAAATCTATGAAGCAAAGACACTTTCTCAAAACAAGATTTCAACATAGTGAAGACCTGCTGGGGTTTTCCCCATCCAGGCCACTGTGCTTACCTCGAGGGATGCAGCAGCAGGTGGCACACAGGCCCCTGTCCTCCTTAGCACGCTTCCTCCTCTCCTATTTGCTCTCGCTTCTCCTTTTCTCCCAGTTACTACACCTTTCTCTCTCCCTAACCCTTCCTCCTCTCTACTTTGCTCCCACTCTCATATAATCTGGTTATCCTCAGCCTTCCCTGAAAGGCTCTAACAAAGGTCACTACTAAACTCCATATTACAAAGTCCAATGGGCATCTTTCATTTGTGACTCAGCCACCATCTTTGACACTGCTTAATCGGTTTCTCCTTTTATCTTGTCTTTTATCTTACCTAATGTAAATGTGTAAAGAAATTCAGTTTGGGATGACCAAAAGTTCTGCATATGAATGGCGGTACCAGTGGCGCCACAATGTGAATGTACTTAATGCCATTGAACTATACAGTTAAAATGGTCAAAATGGTAGGTTATGTTTTATATGTGTGTATTAACAAAACAAGTAGGAAAACACAAACATGTCAAGTCAGAGCCCAAGTTCTACCATGCTGGATTCATTTACTCCCTGGTTCTATTATCTCTCATTGCAATGCCAATGATGGGGAGAAAGAAAAAAAAAAGAAGTGAAAATGTTTTACAGACATTTTAAATGCAGACAATGAGATTTTAAAATATGTATTCTTAGAATACTGAGATTTCAGTTAGCTTCATTATTCCTTTTCTTCCCTTCTGCATATTCCCCTTAAAAACGTCTACAATAAAGCCACCCCCAAATTTTAGAATATGTCAATGATCTCTGAAAAACAGGATTAAGGGCTTTATGAAATTGCCCATAATTTTCTGAAATTTTGATGAGCAATGAGGAAAATTTGTATACTCCAAGAAACTACTGGAAATAAAATATTTAGTATGTAATTATCTGTGGGTTGTTTATTCCCATGTAATTCCAAAAGGCTTCAGGTAGTTGGACATTTATATTTTATAGAGAAATAATTTCTGTTTAGTGAAACAGGTATTTAAATATATCTAGAACTATGGCTCTCCAGCCAAAAGCAGGCTACATTTCTGTATTTTATGGAAAAATTATAGAAAACCAGACTATTGCACAAGGTAAGTGCTCTAGGAATACAGATAAGCATTAATGTGGACAAAATCTTTTCCAAATTAATCTCTCAATTTAAACAGTAGTGTCAACAGAAAGTTTGTTTTAATAATACATCTCTGATGACCCAGGTCTTTAAAGCTCTGTCCACAATCAGACGTAGAATATTCTGATTTGAGCACACTTCAGATTGAACAGTTCACTCTCATCCTGAGAGCAAGGAAATCAATGGCTGTGACTGGGTTAACATAGCTAGAACTTTGCTCATCAAACCACAATAAATGAAACACACTCCTTTCTTTTGCATCGATCATACTTCAATGAAGTGGCTTCATAACATTTTACCATTAAAAGGATCATTATTCTATCCTATTTTTTTTGAGTTTTCCCTCCTATTAAAAAGCTGAAAGGAGGAATCCTAAGTTAATATAAACATGCCAACAATTCTCAAATTATCCTGATAACCATTTTCCAGATAATTTCTGTAAACTAGCTTTGAAAACAAATAATATAGAGAGCGAGATGTAGAAGAACTACAGATGTCCAAATAATACTGTCCCCTGTTATTTTAGGTAATAGGAAGTAGCAAGGGAGAAACATGCAATTTAATATCTGTATTTTTGTTTCTCCAAAAACTATACAAGTTCTAAGAATGTCTAAAGACAAGGCAACTCAAACTGAAAATACCAGTGCCGAATTGTTGTTTAATGTATAACTATATGAACTCAAAAATAACAGCAAACCTAAAGACCACACAGAAAATAGATGCTACCTACAACATTTAAAATAAATTGTAAACTGAAAACCAGGATGAGTCAACAGAAGCTGCCAAGAGACCGCTACAATAATCTTCTGAGGAAGTGACAAAAGCTTCAAACAGAATTTTGGCACTAGTAGGAAGAGTCAGGCATCTTGGACATGTTCTCTCTGAATGCTATCCAAGGTCAAACTTAGCCCAGTGGTAGGTGTTGCTCGTGACAGAGTTTAGAATTGGCTTCTCCCCAAACAGCCAAATCTACTACTATATTCCACAACTTGCAAATTCTGCGCAAATAATTGAGATGAGGAAGCGTACACACCATACAATGTGGGCTACTGAAAACCTTGTGTTTATTTATTTTGGTTTAGGAGCTTCCCAATTTGTTTCACTGACATCCTAAAAGTTTTCTTCAAGGGCACCTATGACCATAAGGACCTAAAAAGAATGAGTACTTTACAAAGAAAATAACTAGAACTGAAAAACAGTTATAGATTCCATAATTACAAAACAAGGTGGCTTCATGGCTAATGAACCAACATTTACGAAGTAA